TCGCTTGTTATTCTTCGATGTTCGTACGAATAAGTATGCCTGGTGAGAGAGAGAGATTAATAGATGTTGTTAAAAAAAAGAAAATGAAAAACAAACTATAAATAGGCATGCAACAATATAAAGTTTAGGCAGTCACTGTACATTTTAAATCTGCACAAGTTATATGAAATAGAATTTTAACTATATTTTATATTTTTATATATTTTATTACTTACACTGAAGAAGATCTCAATTAAAAGAGGTCGAAACGTTTGTTGTTTTGTTAAATTTAAAATTAAAATACGGAACTAAAGTATCTAAATTTAACTCTATTATTTTATTTTAAGTACGGAATGGGCATGGTGAGCACCCAAAAGGTTCACTGTAGTAGTCACCTTTCCTGAACCTTCGAAAAAATCCCGCCCGCGGTTGAAGTGTTAAGCTAGACACCTAACTACATGATCTGACCGGTGCCGATTTTTCAATTGAGCCTTGATTGTTTTTTCATGCAACCAACAACCTCCAAAACCTCCTTCCGGATTTTCTAAAAATTCTCAATTTGATAAATCAAGGCCTAATTCAAAAATTGGCACTGATCAGTCCATGTAGTTTCTTTTCCTCTTTTAAACAAAAAAGAGAATGAACTTTCTACGACAAACCGCTATTAAAAATCTTGGGAAATACTTCAGGGGTAACTCTTATAAACGCTGTATAAAATACGCAATTTTAGGACTTTGTGTTACCAACTGGAAAGGGTGAAAACCGCTTTCCAGATCAAAGAAAATGACACATAATAATTGATGAGCAATAAATGATATGGGCTTAAAATTACGTTAGAATGATCATGTGATGGCTTTGAAATCATGTAAAAATGGCATCATTTCATGGTCATCGTAAGATCATTTTGAAAAATGATAAATTATGATCATTTTAAGGTCATAGAAAGAAAAATGGACTAAATATGATCTTGCGATGATCATCTCGTTTTAGGTCATAACCGTATCATTTGTATGATCCTCTATGCCATATTTATGATCGTTTTAACATCCGATCTAGCTCATCTTTTAAAACATTCCTGAATAACGCCGAAATGATCATAAAATGATCATTCAATAATGCTCAGTTCAAGTTCATTTGTATGACATTAGCTTAGGGAAGTCGTCAAAACTATGAACGAATCAATCGAATCATTTGTAGAATAATGTGAAGCGCTCCTGTGTGATGTTTGTATAAGAGAGAAAATATATAAAACCTAACTTTTCTTATCCATTTTATTCATTTTTTCCAATAGATTACTTTTTATTAACTCTTATATATAACACCTCAAATAACACATTAACTGTGCTAATTAATTATATTATTATGTTATGAAACGCTGATAAAATGACTAAAGAATGATCGATAAGTGGACCGTTAGTGATAGGTCCTAGTTGCTATGCGCAGGGATCATACAAGCTTCGATAATTTACCGTCAGCAACGGTTTCTTACCGAGATTCCTACGGTAAAATCTTAAGATTTTTTACCGGTTTGAAACTACCGCGGTAAAAATCTGATATTGCTACTGAAACATATTTTCTGGCCCCATGCAAAAGAAAACTGTTATGATAAATTTCATGCGAAAAAGTCATGTTCTTTAAATAGTGACTTTTGAGAGTAACTCGCACATATTGCTTCAACGTTGCATCGATAAATCTGCTCTAATATATCATTTTGTTCAATTTTTAATTCGCTTTTGTATGACTTATTGCTCAAAAAAGCTAGACATGTCGATTTTGAGTTATAGTTAAAATACTGAAAAGTTGTTAGAGACATAGGTGTTCGAAAAATGTTCGGGGTCCTTCGTAAAAAACGTCATAAAACTCAGTCGAAAGCTCAAAATTTGGATTTACAATGTTATTCGGGAAGGGGAATCGAATGAGAACACTTTTAGAGAAAAAACATTTCAAATTGTTATGACTATTCTCGATGACCAAATGGACTATCTCTTAAAAAGAACTCATACTGTGTACAATATAACTCGCTGCGAACTCAAATAAAGTAGTCTTATTACCAGTTCGCAGCGAATTATATTCTGTCTATATATATATTTATATATATACCAAACATATATGCACGTAAATTATGTATAAGATGTATATATTCTTGTAGGTTTGGAGGCGTCTAGGTATGTTAGATATTTAGGTATCTGGGTAAATAATTTTTAAGGTTTTCGAAGGTATCTATTGAATACCATAACTTGAAAAAAATGTTTTCACCACTGTCTGGGTTTCCTCCATATGTCAAACATACATATGTAACCATGTAGATTGTACGCTCTCCATGAAAAAAATGGCAGGAAAATGGAAGGAGTTAGTGTGTAACGAACGCAAATTACGCAAACCTGAAAGTACTTCACATCAAAATGAATTTGTCGTAATAAACTACCTGTTTTTAATATTCAAATGAACAGTGTTTGTACTACATTCTATATGCTCAACTGAATTAACTATCCTAAACTTCGAGAACACACGAGAATAAAATCTCTGTAACTTCAAACTATCAAGTTCAATAGTTACATGAATGGATTTTTTAAGATTTTAAAACTCGATCAAAATTCACTTATCAGTCATAGCACATGCTACAGACAAAAAAACAAAACTCCATCACGTGGGACCAAGCCGAGATGCAACATGTAAATTTGTATACTCTGTGCTTCGATAGAAAAGAAAGCTGATTTCTAGTAGGCTTCCTAAGGTAGTAGGATAGTAGTAGGAAATAATACAAGTCATTAGTGTCATTAGTCTGAATTAATATATAGGTGTTCTTAGTTTATAAATAATTCTTTGGCATTCGAAAATGGTATATTTGCAGAATAGCTTTGGCCAAACTGTGCGATAGCCCTAGTTACATTCGTGCTTTATTCTTGCCGCGATCATGCCACGACCGCGAAGTTTGCGCGTTCCGCGAAAACATTGGCGGTCGCGCAGCGAAAATTTTTCAGCGTCGCATTCGCGCTTCAAGTCACGTCGCGTTCGCGGTTCAGATTATGTCGCGATCGCGATTAAAAATAAATCGCGTCATGTTCGCGATTTACATCAGATTGTATCGCGTTCGCGATTCAGATAAAATATTATATGCGTTCATACGAAGTTTCTTCGCTTGAAGAAAAATCTTATAAAAGTGTGGTAAGGTCGATTACATAGCAGTAGCACATGCATCTCTAAAAGAAAACATTTCTTTCTGACTTAGAGAAACAGAAGGAGTAGATATTTATCGTTCGATGTTTTTAATTTCGTTTATGCGTGTATCCCACGTGTATTTTGGCCTACGTAAATTTCTAATGAAGAAAAGCATGCTTCATATAAACGCATATAGCCTATATAATTGTCTAACATTTTTAAAAGTGAAAGAATTTATATAATGCACATAGACCTGTATGGCAGCCACGATGACGTTACAAAGCTTTTCTTCTCATTTTAAATGAGACGAAAAAGCAGTATCTCTTACATCAGACACTTATTTCTTCTACTAAGGTCATATCTGCTTTTTTAAGTTTCTCAAAGCAGAATTAAATCTAAGAACAAAATTAACTAACTAATTTGCAAAGTAAGTACACAGCAGTTCCAGTGAGTGATAGAATATAAATTCCTAAATATAAATTTTGCTGTCGCAGTTTCTTCAGGCATTTTGTGTAGATTAAAAAAGTCTTCTTTCTCAAAAAATGCACTATGTCCAAGGACTTTTTCTATGTTCTTTCTCTCAATAGATGTTTACTGTGCAAATATCTCAAAATAAAGATGCACAGAAGTGAGAAATGCATCAAAGGTTAATACTTTTATAACAATTGTGAATATCCTTGGTGTAACATCGCTTTGTTGTTAGTGACTCTCAGGATGTAGCGACAATCGGTTCGATTCTGTTTGATACACAGAAGATTGGAGCTCAGCCATTCCGTCTAATTCCCAGAATATTAGAGTGGCTTTAGTAACGAACTGATCTTAGCGATAATATCTTCGGGTATACATTCTCTGCCAGTCCAAGCGTGAATGTTTTCTTCACATACGACAAACGTTACCTTATCGGTAATATTCACAAATGAACCATAAAACGGCAACCGCTCTCACTTTTATTTTGAGATCAAATACCAGTTATATGTCGAACAGTAATTGAGAAATACATGAGAGAACTTAGAGAAGTCTAAGACTGAAGCTGTTTTAGAAATAACAATCAAAATTTTCCTAAAGTAACACCGTTATCACAATTTCTATGACGAGTTAAGAAGAATTATAGAAAGCGAGAGCGTGTTTACAAATAAAATTGCTTTGTACTTATTTTAAGCTCAACCTCGAAGAGAGTCTGAGGTGAATGATTCAACTTGCTTGCATTATGTTCCCGAAGAGAAAACTAGGTAAAACAGGAAATCAGTAGATTTCGAGAACCTTTTAAAGCTGCTAACCGTGCTCACAATTACAAATCCAGCATCCTGAAATGGTTTGCTGCCGAGATCTTGCCGCGACATAAGGTTGAACACATTCCTGTCGCGAAACAGTCGATTTCAATAATGATCATGAGACGAAACAAGCTAATTTAGGCACCATCTTGTCGCGAACTCAATCGAGCTCTAGTCGCGAACTCAATCCCAAACCTGTAGCGAACTGTTTCCGGACACAACCGCGACTTTTTCGCAAAACGCGAAAAATTCACGAATATGTGCGTCCGCGATAGCGATCGCGATTCAAATTGGCTATTGCGCGGCAAGGTTACTATGGCTGAATATTACCGACGCGCAATGAAGCGCGGATTCTACTAGGGAGTAGTTCTAATATTTGTTGCCCTTTCTCTTTTGTGGCTGATGTTGGATCCCCAATTACTCCGCTCTGACTTAAATCCTTTGTTAACCACCCAAATGTTAGTTTACCTCCTGTGCTTAGTTTATCATCTATACTCAAGAGACTATCTTTGGATAATTTTGGTGGACGTTCGGCTTTTGCTTTATCCATTTTAACTTGATCGGGCAGGATTTTCAACAACACGCTCGTTTCGGCGTCACCGGCATTGGTACCGAATTCTGCTCCTCTGAATGTGCCCTAATCGGTAGCATCAATTATTAAATTCCAAATAACAAAGGAAATACCAGAAAATCTGAGTGACTCACACGCAAACTTCTTGCAACAAGATCAGTTATTTCGAGATTACCACCATGCGAGTTTGAAAACACAAATTTCCGGAAACCGGCACGATAGACGCTTTCACCGATTTCAG